CCACTTGACCTACCAGTGCCGCAACTTCCTCAGCCTCAAGGATGAGAAGGAGAGTGACGATTCTGCCCTTAGGGCCGCCGATGCCGCGCTTGAGAAGATCAAGAAGGCGGAAGAAGAGACAGAGAGCGGAGATGACGGGGATGAGAGCGAGAGCTCGGATTCGTCGGTGGATCCGGAGATTGAGAGGATAATTGCGGAGAGATTTGGGAAGCCGATGAGCAAAAAGGTGGGATCTTTGAAGAAGAAGAGGTCAAATTCAAGCAGCGATGATGATGATGATGATGGTGAGGAGAAAAGGAAGGACAAGCATGAGAGGGGTCGTCGTCGTCATCGTAGAAAGAAGAGGGACTCGGATGGAGATGAGTCTGATTCTGATAGGAATCGAAAGCGTAGGCGAAGGGGAAAGAGGAGAGTGAGTGATTCTGAGAGCAGCAGTGACGAATCTGATGGGCATCGAGGGGGGAGGAGGAGGCGCCGGCGCCGGCGTAAAGAGAGGAGGTCGGTTTTGTCGAGTGATTCGGAGAGCACTGCCTCGAGTTCCGACGAGGATGAGCGAAGAAAAAGAAGAGAAAGGAGGAGGAGGAGGAGAGGGCATAAGAGAGAGCAGGGTATTGAATCAATTGATAGGAGGTAAAACATTGTATCCTTTGAATGTTTTCTTCAAGTAGTAAAGAGTTCAATCGGTGTTAATTTTTTTTGTCAGGAATAGGTTATTATTGGCTATTGACAAGCTAATTGCCTAATTAGAAGTTGAATCTAATTATGATATCCAGAGTTATAGTAGGATTTGGATCCCTTCATCTTATGGCTTTCCAAATTAAAATCCACAAATCCTATCACTGCTCGGACACAGATCAGGTTATTGTTTATTTATTTAAGAATTCTCTTACTTAGTAACTCAAATCGAAAAGCCCTCTCCCTCCCTCCCTCTCTCTCTCTCTCTCTCTCTCTCTCTCTCTCTCTCTCTCTCCCTCTTCCTCTTCAATGGGAAAGCGAGTGGGAAGCAGTACCTGTTCTCTCTCTTCACCTCTGAAAAAACCGAAGAAGAAGACGGCAGAAACACCATGTCTACCTGAAGACATCATCCACTGCACCCTCTCTCTCTCTCTCTCTCTCTCTCTCTCTCTCTCTCTCTCTCTCTCTCTCTCTCTCTCTCATAACTCCTCTTCCTCTTCAATGGGAAAGCGAGTGGGAAGCAGTACCTGTTCTCTCTCTTCACCTCTGAAAAAACCGAAGAAGAAGACGGCAGAAACACCATGTCTACCTGAAGACATCATCCACTGCAAAATCCTCCCACGGGTTCCTCTCAAATCATTGTTTAGGTTCAAATCCGTCTCCAAAACCTGGAATCGAACAATCTCGGACGACCCTTTATTCGCCCTGCGGCAATCTCTACACAGCAAATTCTCATGCGCGTCCACAATCTCTGTAAACAGAAAGAAGGGCGGGCGCCTCGTTGTTCTGTCTACGTTCGAAGAAAGCCCTGTTGGCATCCCTGACCCTTTTCTTCGTTTCATAGGCGACAATGTCAGCCCCTTGGCCATCTTGTCCTCCACCAACGGCCTCCTCTGCATCCGCTGTCATGATAGTTCTAGACAACAAGAATTCTTGTACGTGTGCAATCCTGCAACAATGAAGGGTACGTGTGTTCCTGCACCTGAGGGGATGCGCAGTTTTGTGGCTGTATCTGTTGGACTCGCATTTGACCCTTCAGTATCACTGGACCGCTATGAGCTCGTCCATCCTATTCGAAGCAATGGGGTGAACCAAACAGTGGAGTACCGGTTCAAGGTGCTCTCATCTCGTCGCAGAGAGTGGATCAAGTCTGATCAGGTTGTGGTATTAGGAGAAGGATACCCGTGGAAAGAGTCCAAGCCTGTTTTTACGAAAGGGGTTTTGTACTGGTACTGTGACGATTACTTGTTATGGTTCGACTGTAACAACGAGATCTCAGGCTACACACTCATGCCTGGGGAACTTCTGAGTTTCACCCAGCAGGACATTGGCGTTTGCAGGGATCGAGTGTCGTTAACTCGACTCTCAGACAAGGGTCTGGAAGTGTGGACGATGACCGATAGACATGGATGGGAGAAGATGTATGAAACGAGGTTAGAGACGATGGTGGAAGGCAACATTGATTTGTTTGGTTCGTTCTGGACGACGATGACGCTGAGGAGCAGGGACAAGGTATCGAAGGGGCTCGTAAAAAGGTATCGGATGCAGCCATTGCCGTTCGAAGGCGGGGGGAGGGTGTTGCTCAGAGTGAGGGTGAGGAATAGTCGTTATAATGGCGACGGTGAGAAGGAGAAGGTGTTGAGTTATGATGTGAAGACTGGGAAGATGGGGATGGTGCTTTATGAGGGGGGGTTGTTTCAGGAGTGGCAACAGGTTTTTGGATACAATAACAGCATGGTTCCTTTTCAAGTGATGCGTTGAAATATTGCTGTGACTTGGGTTCAGTTTGCGACATTTTTGTCAAGAGATGTAGGAGATATTTGTTATTGTTATTTCATTCGATTGCAATTTGTCGCTGTTGTTTGGTTGCCAATCGACTCTGCGTTTGCATCTGTGGGCAATACTTGTGGTAATTCTAATTCTTCAGAAGTAATTTTGAAATGTACTCTCAATTTGAGTGAATTATAGGGAAGCATTTGTTCAATTTGTGCCGTTAGCCATCGATATTATTTGTAGTCCTTTGCTTTTTAGTTTCACTCTGTACATGCAAGCAAGCAAGCGAGAATTAAGGAGGTTGTTTATGGAACGAACCAGGAAAATATTTATTAAAGCGAAATTGGAATACAAAGTGTATCGGAGATCATATCACGAGCAGCTGTGATTATTATAGGAAACCATTCTTTTTTCATAGGAGATGACAAATACAACATTCAGGACTCAGCGACGAGGCCTATTGGCTTCATCATTATTATATAATAAGTAACTTGGAAGATAACAAACACGAAGGCTTCATGTTTTTCTCTGAGAAAGAAAAGGGGTCTCATTTGCAGCTGCAGGGATCACAAGTGCAGTTGGATCCACACTTGCATCCTCCATTCTCACCCTCAGCACCCTCAAACCCTTCAAACCTGCAAAAATAAATAAAAAAAATTATCAGAACTTTGTTAGATTTGATTGATTTTGGTCATTGTTTGATGTGAAGACTACTAATGTTAAAAGGTTAAAAAAAGGAAACAGACCCCTTCTGAGGTGCGACACCAAGTATCACAGTCTGAGTAGTGGCAACCATCCCTTCAGCAAAAGCTGGATTCCTGCAGCTGCTCACAGAAGAAAAAAGGAAGGCAAAAAAAAAAATTTAAATAAATCATGGTCAACATTATAAATAATAGGGTTTTTCTGTAGAGCGCTCATGGGCACTCTATAAGAGAGGAGGGAGATAGAGAGAAACGAATAGCTCATGAGCCCCTTCTGATTTGCATTAATTTCTGTGCATAATTCATTTTTCTTTCTCTTTCTCCTTTCTTATAGAGTGCTCATGGGCACTCTATAGAAAAACCGTAAATAATATCAGCAAATTAATGAGGGTAAAAGTGTAGGGGCAAATTGATGGGCGAAGGGTTGTATTGAAATTAGTGGTACAAACTAACCTTAAGATTAAACGAGTTAAGACCAATTGATGAGCTTATGAATATCAAACAATAAGGAAGAACCGAACAAATTCAAACGGTGCCTTACATAATTAATAAGCTGATTAGTGATCTAATTAATTACCATCCACAGCCATTGCAGCCGCATCCGCTGCTGCACTTGCAGCCGGTAGAACAAGCACCGCAAGAAGACATTATGCTCTCCGAATCAAACGAGAGAGAACTGAAGGAAAGCTAAATGCCTGTGGAACGCTTAGAACTCTGAATGAGAGGAGAAGAGCCTACGGCTTCCAATTTATAGAGACGATGAGGGAAAGCGACGAGCCTCGACCGAACGCGTGTAAGAATCTCTCCTTTGGGAAATTGAGCACTAAGAGAGGAGACCGAAGACTCGTATCTTTCTTTTTTGATTTGGTGTTCTTTCTGTTTTGTCAGCAATTTTGACGTGTGCTGCGAACAGAGTAATATCACTGGGTTAAAAGTTAAAAACTGTAAAGTTGATGGCTCGATTTCAGATACTATGGTGGTGTGCTATAAGATCCACTAGTGTGAACACCGTGCTACAAATTTTTCCCGTTATAGTAATCTCAGTATTAACTACTATATCATTTTTAAATTTTTTTTTGAATTGCTACAGTATCCCGTCATTAACTACGACAGCACTTTTAGGAGCTATCCTTGCTACTAAGGGCTCAGCATGGGACCCTAAAGGCCTCGAACTGGTGAGCATACAACGGGTTGGGTTAACTGACCAGTAAAATCCTGAGTTTCTGCACCCACCTTTAGTCCCACAGAAAACAGGTGAATACGGAAGAGAGGATTTGAACTCCTAACCAATTAGAGAGATCTCCTCCCTCACTCTTCGTGGCGCTAGCCAAAAGTCCCACCCGCGGGTTGGTGCCCTTCTTTTACTTTACTAGTTCTTAGAGCATTAGAGGTAACCTCTTGTTTTATTTCATGAGTGAGGTAATATTTTATTTCAGACCTCCATTTTAAGATTATATTTATTTTGGAAGTTTTAAGAAGTTTTGGGCCTTTAAACAAATATTTTTTATTGTTAAGCTTTTCAATCTCTTCTAATCTTCCTTAACCCATATACTTTCTTCTCCTTTTTTATTCAAGCCTACCCTCCACATTCTTGCTAAAAATGTTCGACCAAAATTTAGAACTAACATTTTCAGAACTATTTATTGGTAATGTTTAAGCATCTGCAGTCATCTAAAACAACACCAAGTGATCTCTCCATTTCTTATAGTTTTCAGAACTGTAATGTTTGAATCCCCTATTTATTTAGGAGTTTATCTGCAGTCAAAGAGACTTTGAGATGATATCAAAGAACTAATCTCTTAAAGCACAGTTAGAATAAACAACATTAAAAAGAATTTACCATGTACTAAAAAATAACCCAATAAACTATTGAAATTTTTTATTTTCTCCTTCTCCCAATTGGATGTCTTGAAATATATCGCTCATACGCGTGCGTTCTGATAAAATCTATACTCCCTTCGATAAAGAAGCATTGACAATTTAGAATATAAATTATAATCCTCAATATTTACTCCACTTCAAATGACGTTTTTATGTGAGTGGAAGTACTCGATCAGTGCCAATTATAGTATAATAACAATAATAAGCCATTTTAAAGTGGGACAGATACGCCTTCCCATAAAAGATAGAATGCCCGACTTTTTATTCTCATGTCCCTCCTTTCTCTTGTATTTTTTTTTTTTTTTTGAAAAGCCTTCCTCTTGTATTTCGTTCTTTGTAAAAGTTGGTCTTCTTAATCATAATCGGGGACGTTAATCCCGACAAACAGGAATTTAGATATAGTACATACACAATAATTGAGAGAGATGAAGACAAACAACAATTTATACACGTATAATAATTGAGAGAAATGAAAGCATGTTTGGGAAATTTAGATGATAATCTAGAATTGGATTATAATTTAAGTGCATTATGTTTGATCTGATATACAATCCTAGAGGGTTGCTACTTGCTATAGTTTTTCGCTTAAACAGAAAATAATCAACAAAAAATATAGAAAATTAAATGTGAACAACCATTCTCATTTTGCCAAGAGTTAGTCTGAATTACGACCCAATTCAGTATGTTTACAAATACCGCACCCTAAAATCTCCATAACGAGCAACGCTCTAGCCCTAGCTAGTTTTAACCCTCAGGCTTGAGTACGCCGTAAAAACAAGTTTGAAATTGTAGAAACGACGATAAAGTTCGGGAGAAAATGCAGGAGAACAATCTGCAGGTTTCACGGTCGACCGCGCATGCAGTGGCGGAGCCAGGATTTTAATCCTATGGTGTCCTATAGATGCATCGGTAATGGTGGAAAATACATCTCTCTCAACATAAGCCACCAAACTATCATTAAGCTGAAAAAATTCGAACCCGCGCGCATGCGGGGTTCCTTGCAAGATTCGAACCCGCGCGCATGCTGGGTTCCTTGAGACCCTTTTCCGCTAAACCATCTATACTTTTGTTATTTTTATATGTGCTCTCTGATAGATATTCAGTTTTTACTGGTGTCCTGGGAACCCAGAGGCACCCATTCAGCTCCGCCCCTGCGCGCATGGCACGGCGGTCGACCGCAAACGTGCACGAAACATGAGTATGCCTCTGGACTTTTTGCGGTCAACCGCGATGGGTTCGGCGATCGACCGCGCCCAAACCCAGGAGACACAAAAGTCTCTGGACTTTTGGCAGTCAACCGCGATTTGGGGTTCGGCGGTCAACCGCGTAGCGGATATTGGGCTATTTTGTTTCCTGCTCCGTTTCTGATTGAGTTTTGATATATATTAGAAATATTCGTTTCTAGGGTTAAGAGAGGAGAGTTTTAACAGAGATTTGAGATTGTACTGAGCATTATAAGAGGGAGATATTGTGAGCAAGGAGAGAACTTTGGTTTAGGGTTTATTTGTGAGTTTTGTGAGTTGTAACTCTTTTGTACTCTTCTTGATTTAGTGGAATCTCCCCATCCTCTCCCCGTGGACGTAGGAAAATTACTGAACCACGTATATCTCTGTGTTTGGTTTGATTTGTCATATTTTGGATTGGATTGTGCTCGTGTGTGGATTGGTTATCTTCTCTCGTGCTTACAAATTCATTCAGTGTGCGATCACACTTCCGCATAGGCGCTCAACAGAAATAAACTACCAAAAATAGTTAAAGGAAAAAAGTCAAAAAGATCTTATAACCCTTTTGATTAGCAAACCGTTCTTCAAAAGATTAAAGCAAAGCTCGATGAAGAACGATGCAGATGTTGATTACAAGTACAACTTCTCTTACTAAGACGATCCAATGTTATTGAACGTGACGAGCAAAGGTCCGTTGAGGCTCTGAGGATTCAAATTGCCATCATATCATTCTTCTTCCCACAAACCCTAGAATTGTCTCTCTTAAAACTCTTTTTTTTCAAACCGTTGAACTCTCTCCAAAAATTATCTATTTCAATCTTATACAGCCTCTCATACATTATGAAAGAGATATCCAAATTATAATGAAAGTTGGAGATGAAAGGTATCAATTGTGATTAACTATTCAAATCTTAAAAATCATCGTCACCATCGATGGTTCCCTAAGCACCATCGATGGGCATCTATAGATCATTGATGATCTGATTTTGAGTTTCTAAAAATTTACAATTGGTCACTATACACAATCGATCGATGATGTGCGGTGACCATCGATGGTTCATTGTAGACAATCGATAGTTTGAAATCAACTTTCTGGAATTCTACACTTGTTCATTGATGGTTTGATTTTGAGTTATTAAAAATCTACAATTAGTCACTGTACATCATAGACGATGTGTGGTGGCCATTGATGGTTCATTGTAGATCATTGATGGTTCATTGTAGACCATTGATGATTCGAACTCAACTTTCTGAAATTCTGCAATTGTTTACTGTATAACATCGATGAGCCTTGACCATCAATGGATCCAAGGCTAAAATTAGCACAAATAATGATTTTCGAGACGCTTCACCTCGTAACCTTCCTATCCTTATTTTTACGGCGTTTCGCCTCATAACATATACACGCTTTCACCTCTATTATATCCTCTCAAATAAATATTAGTATCAAACGAGAGTTTGTTATTATTCAAACAAGAGCTATTGTACGGACTACGTCCTAATACATTATAATTTAACATATTTGCTAAATTTGATTAATTATAATCTACTTTTAATAGTAAAGTGTTTTGCAAATAGGTAGATCAATTCTTCACTGTCAAAATGATGAATTAAAAAGGACATGAGTTGGCAATGATTTATTAAAAGAGGCCTTTGACTTTGAGAAATCATAAAGAATAAAATGGTTTTTTACAACTTCATGGCTTATAAGCTATCAATAATACGCTAGAATACTCTAGCTTTTTTCACGGCTTATAAGTCGATATAAGCCATTTGCCAAATATCTCCAAATAGCTTACAAGTCACCTTGACCTTTTGTCAAACATGTTCAAAATATATCAATGAATAATAATATGGGCTTTGCTTCGGTGCTCCTAAAATCGTTTATTAATTTATATTTTTTAAAAGGGTAAATTTGGAAAAACAAATAAATCTTCGTCCCCACCAATTTCTCATCCACAGAATTCCATCGAACGCGTATAAATCCGTTTAAATAGAATCATAGGTGAATTACGCTAAGAAAATTCCTCAATAAAGATATCAACAAGAAATCTAACATGTGATTGAATGCGATACAAGGAAATTGGATCCGAAGAAAGTCGACCATCAACCATGTTGATGAACTTAAACAAAGCAATCATGTTCATTCAAAATCTCAGTTGTTTAGTTGAAAATTAATCGAATGAAGGTTCCCAAGGCCTAAGAGAAAGCCAATTAATGCCGGGCTCATACATACATACATGTTCCTCCATGCAAAAACAATTTATTTCCAGTCAGATTGGCCCGGTGGCGACACTCATGATCTCGGGCTCAATACTCTAGAGAAAGAAGACGCTCGTATGAAGTATTTCATAGGATCGATGACCATATCAAAAATTAAATTCCATTAGGTTTGGTCATCCGCGCAATGAATTAGGGGATTGGAGAAGAAAACCACGTCAAAAAAATAAAGACCCCGAGAGTTTTTTATTAGTTCGAGAATTTTAACTACTTCCTATTTATCTTCTTATTCATACTTCCTAAAATAACCTTTTTATCTAAGTGAAATTACTTTTTTGGGTGTGGAACTACTGTCAACTACCTTATCCCTCAAATTTAGGATGTGAGAGAGATTTTTAGGGAAACAAACTACACCAACTGCTTGGGAGCACGGAAGCTGTTGGCTAATAATATTAGGACACCTCGCACCATATGAAGCATTCTGAGCCGTGCAAATGTAAAATAGGGGAACAACTTTGGTATTTCACTACCCCCTAAAGCCTCAAATTACCCCACCATGCGAGTATTCTACTTGTATATTTAGAGGCTGTTTGGTTGGTTTCCTAGAAACCAAAGGGGAAAAAAAATTGGGGAAGGAAACAATTAAATATGAGTTTCCATTCGTTTCCCCATAAAAATTTATAAAATGAATTTCGTTAAAAATGAGCCATATTATCCACTAAAAATGCCCAACATCATATTTTCACTTGGTTTCAAGATGTTAACCAAACAAAAAAAAAAGAAAAAGAAAAAGAAAGTTAATTGTAGGAAACTTGCATCAAAGCACGACCAATTAACATTAAATTTACATATAAACAATTTATTGTGTACCTATATATGGAATCTAATTATAGTAAAAAGACGCACATGCAAGTTGGACATGAGCAAGATAATAAAATAAGCATAAAATTAAATATATAACAGTAAATAGAGGTGTAATTAATGAATTATATTTATTTTAGAATATATTTGTTACTTCCTTAAAGTTTGATGATTTGAAAAAGGGAAATGAAATTGATCCTTAGGATATTAGATATATAGTAGCTTTTTTGAGCATTTATAAGGGAGAGATCTGGAGCTTAGAGGGGAGAGGGAAAGGAGGAGATAAACAGTGAACCCTCCTCATCAATAAATAACAGCGACAAAATTTCTAAAAATCACTCCAAACTTTTTTCCACAAAATTACTAAAAATCTACATCTAAAGGCACAAAGTCAAAAAAATGAAAATTACAAATCAAGAAATATTATAGAACCACATTTAGCACCACAAAATAAAACAAAACTAAAAAGGAGTCTCCTTCATTAATTCATCCCAAAAGACCAACACAACACAACACAACACAAAACATTACATAGATCAGAGCTCAACACGCATAACCCCCCCCCTCTTAATTTCTATTGGGGGTACTTAATTAATACATGACATTGTAAACCATGGCTTTAATTATTCTAGCTAGTTAACTGATAACAGAAGACGACTCCTCCTCTGGAACACAAACAGAGCCTCTCATTTGCAGTTGCAGGGGTCACAGGTGCAGTTGGACCCACACTTGCACCCACCGTTCTCGGCCCCACCGGCGCCAAGCTCGAACCCTTCACCCTCCCTGCGGTTAATTACGTGGAGATGTAATTTTTCCAAAGAGATTTGATTAACAATAATTAAAATTATCGGCGGGTTTTACTGTTAGTGTTTGTAATTAATTGACGGGAGTACGCACGTACCCCTTCTGTGGGGCTACACCGAGGATCATGGTGTTGGAGGAGGTGATCCTCTCCTCAGCCAAATCAGCGTACATCTTGCACCTGCAGCGCTCACCAAAAATATCAATTAATAATAAAGTAAATTTTAATTAAATAAAAAAGAAAAGGCAGGTCCTTAAACCTTTATTATGTGATTCGTAAATTTAAATAAATAAATAAATAAATATTCGGACCATTTTTAAGAGGTAAAGCCTATGAGAAGGTTCGCCTATGATCTACGCCTCTCCAAAATTTTCAAAGATAATTATTATGTGGGAAATACTATTATTATTATTATTATTATTATTTTTAAAAAAAATAACTTAAGGATCCAAAAATATGGGACCAATATAAGAGACTGGTGAGGTGTCCCCTCTCTATTACATAATGAGCTGGTCTCAGCTCATTATATAATAGAGAGGAGATTAGCTTATTTGTCCATTCCAATAGTCCTATATTTTGGGTGTTTGCGAGGAGTGACAAAAAAAATGAAGGTATTTTACGTCAAACAATGAGAAAACACAGTTTTAACAAAGGATTATTATTATTATTATATTATTAAACGGCCCATTTGCCGAGGTTGATAAAGATTTGATCAAAATAAATAAAATGAAAACGAGAAGACCTATTTGCCAAAAAAACCCATGAAAAATTTATAAATAACTACACTTCAGAAAAAATTACCCTCCACAGCCGTTGCCACACTTGCAAGAAGACCCACACCCACAATTCCCACCGCAGCAAGAAGACATCTTCCCTCTCGTTTCGATTATTTCACCGATCGACTTCTCGAGTTTGAAGAAGAGAAAAAGCCTCGGCGTTTTATTTATAGACGAAAAAGGAGTGGGGGAGAACATGGCTGTGGACCGTACACGTGTCAAGATCCTGTCGGCTGCCGATTTGTTAGCGTGACCCAATAATAAGGGGGTACACGTATCCCCTCTGACCCGTGCATTGCATTCAACGCTCGTTTCATCGTTATCTCATCAGCTGCTTGAGCAATAGGTACGTGCAACTTCGACTCTATAATGGGACCAGAGAGGTCTCTAGTTGGGTGAAATTTTGCGTTTTTCCGCGAGTGAATTAAATATTGTAGTAATTGGGATTCACACCCCCTTATCTCTGTAATATCTAGGACACTTGTCAATACGTCCAAAAGTCAACGTTGATTATTGTACTGATGTAATAATCTCTACTTATTAACAGTAGTTCTTAACATTTGTTAATGCATTTTTATCTTTTATTTTGTGGATAAGCACAAAATAAAAGATGGTCTCACAAAATGAAAGGTGGAGATGCATTAGCAAATATTAGAGCATCCCCAACAGCTTCCCTATTTTATTGGTATTCTCACTTTTGAAGAATTTTGGGCTTTTTTTTTGTCCAACAGATTCCCCATCTTATTCCCCAAAATAGGGATGGATGAGAAAAAAAGGGGAGTCTTCCCCAAATCTGGGGCATTCTTCAAATATTTGAAGAAAGCTTTGTCATAAATACAACACGTTCTTCAAAACGGGATGGAGGAAAAAATAAATATAAAACAAAATATGTAATTAACAAAAAAACCATGGGGGCAATTCCAATGCATAAGAGCATCCCAAAATAGGAATGTAGAATATTTTTATTATTGTAATAAATGTAAGATTCTTCAAAATGGGGAAGCTGTTGGAGTTGAAGCAAAAATAATTTGAAGAATATGACTTTTGCTTCCCCATTTTGAAAAAATTTTTGGGGAAACTGTTGGAGATGCACTTAGGAACCACTATTGATGAGTAGAGGATCCCAATCCAACAATTTCATACATGATATTGATAATTTTTAAGCATAAATCACATCAAAACTTGTTATATGGGCGATGGCGTTGAGATACTCTGAACTTGGCACGATCAAGTAGTTACCGGGGTCCGTGACCAGTTTTTCAGCTTCTACATGCAAAATGTTCTGATATGATTTATTTTTTCTTAATAGGTTTAAATGCACTTGTATTTGGAGATAATTTGAAATAATTGAGATAAATATTTGACGATTTGCATTTGGAGATCACTAGACGCATCAATTCACAAAAAAACGATTGGACGATAAATAATAGAATGAGGATAGGGCTGTCCATCCGGCCCGGCCCGGCCCGGCCCGGCCCGGAAAACCGGGCCCGGGCCGGGCAAAACCCAAGCCCGGACCCGGGTCCGCGCCAGGGCCGGGCCCGACCGGGCCGGACTATCGGGCCGGCCGGATTTTTGTTTTTTTATTTTTTTTATTTTTTAAAAATTTTAAAAACAATAAAACATAAAAATTATATTTATATAATAGTATATATATATTTATAGCCTTATATAAATATAATTATATTATATGTACATATAAGGTTTATGTTATATATATGTATTAGATATATAAATATATATTTATACTCTTATATGTATTTATACTATATATAAATATACTTATATATGTACATATAAGTTTATGTTTATATATGTGTTATAATAAAGTATACTTAATATACTAAGAGAGAGAGAGTATAAATATATATATAAGAGAGAGTATACATTGTACACATATATAAGAGAGAGCATACTTATACATATATATAATTATATAAGAGATATAAACAATATAAGAAGAATATACTTAATATTTATATATACTTATATACTAAGTAGCCCAAAGTATTCATGTCATTTCAATATATTATATGTATATATATACACACACACACTGACACACATAGACATATATTATACATAAACAAATTGTAAATACTTATAGTAATTACATAAACAAATTGTATTATATCATATAAAACACACACACAATATAAACTTATATATACACACATATATTATACATATATAAGAGAGAGTATACTTATATATAATTATATACTAAGAGAAGAGTATATATATATATATATATATATATATATATATATTATATACACAATATATATACATATACATATATGTTATATATAAGAAAATAAAAAAAATAAAAAAATAAAAAAAATTTACTGTTCCGGGCCCGGGCCGGGCCCGCCAACGTCGACCCGGGCCAGGGCCCGGACCCGGGTTTTGCCCGGGTTTCCGGGCCCGGGCCGGGCCCGGGCACGACCGGGCCGGGCCCGGGCCGGACACCGGGCCGGGCCCGGGCTCCGGGCTTTTTGGACACCCCTAAATGAGGAGGCTTAAAGTGAAATCCTAGAGATCTAATAATGATAATAATTAAGAAATATATACAATTGGGGATTAGAGAAATTAAAGAGGAGGAATGTGGACCTAAGAGCATCTCTAATAGCTTCCCCATTTCTTATTTTTGGATAATATAGTTAGGGTTTTGGTCCAATAAATTCTCCATCTCATTCTCCAAAATATGGATGGATGAGAAAAAATGGGGAAGTTTTCCCAAATCTGCAGCATTCTCAAAATTTTTGAAGAATAAAAAAAGATTCTTCAAAATGGAGAAACTGTTGAAGTTGGTGTAAAAATAATTTAGAGAATATGATTTTTGCTTTCCCATTTTGAAGAAAATTAAAAAAAGCGGTTGGAGATGCTTTAAGTGACGCGGCGACTTTATTTTTGCAAGTTGCCTAGGTGCAAATACTGTGCACAACTGTCAACATCATCGTACATTTTCCTTCTTATTAATGTCACAATCAATTATTATCGTCCATTAATTGTGGGCGACCCCTGCGACAAGAATCCTCTAGAAAATATGATTGTTTCCATTGTAGATATATCATCCTCTAGAGAATATCATTATCAGTTTTTATTTATCATCCGCGCGTTATTTTCAAATTGTATAGACTAATAGGTACAAGAAATTATGTCTAAAAATTCTGTTTTTTTAGTAAAAAGGAAAAGAATATGTTTGTTTGTTTGTTTGTTTTTTTCGGAGTAAAAAGGTGGATCAAATGAGAATAATATGTTCCGAAGACCCTTTAACCGCAATTAGGTGCCTAAATAAAGCAAAGGTTCCATATACCATTTTTAGTGGTTACGGTGCAAAAGCCTTTACTATATTAAATCCAAAGGAATTTTGACTTGATCAATGAACATGTATTCCTCCTCATACGAGGACCAACCTTTTGAAATAATTACACGAGAGAGAACGAGGGGTTGTCGTTCGTTCTTCCCCCTTGGAGAAGGAGCATATATGCATTAGTTGTTAATGCTTAAAGTCTCATGGTCACCTCTCAGGGGCTGTTTGGTTGTTGTTGGTAAAGTTGTGTATTTATGACACAACCTGGAAAGTTGTTGTCCACCTCATCAATTTCACTTTTATATTTTTCTTTGTTTGTTTTTTATTCCATTGGAATCATAAATTGTTTGTTTAATTTGCAAATATAACTTTAATTGTTTGTTTGGAAAGTGTAAAAAGTGATCCCTACTCAAATGATCATATTGGTTGAAATTTTTTTTTTTTTCGTAACTTCAATGTCAGCTTTCTCCTAAAATCGTGTCTTTTTTATGAAATCATTTTACAAGCCACATCAGCATATGAAATCACTTTACACTATTTTCACAGTTACAAACAAACAATTGAAAGTGATAAAAGCTAACACTGGTGCCCACTTTTTTACACTTTCTACCTTTTTACATGGTAAAAATATACAACCAAACAGCCTCTCAATGCAATAATTATAATAATAAACACCTCAAAATGCTTTAAGAATAGGGCACTTATGTCGCTAACACTATGTTTGAGAGTTTACCTGGAGAAGGAAAGGCAAAGTATAAATTGGGGAAGGGAGGGCAAACGGTGGTGAGGGAAGCTAAGGAAAATACTGTAACTTGTTTGGATGTATACTAGGGAAAACAAAGGGAACTTATGTAAAATTACGTAAGTATCCTCAAACTCCGCTAAAATATTTTATTATTAGATGCCAAAAATAGTCCCGACAGAATTATTTAAGTGAACTTATCACCTCGGGCGCCGTTCACTCTTTTTGTCGTTATCCCGCGAGATGAAGTATTGTTTGCCAAATCAAAGTGCTGAATACGACGAGTCTTTTGCCCGCAATAAAACCGCATGGGCAAAGCCTACCAAATGTTCGGGCCTCTAAAACGACTAAGTACTAAGGCCTACAAATAAAATACTGGGGCGTTAAAGAGGCACGTGGGCCCAAACCCACAGGTTACAGCCCAGGGCCCAGGCCAACAAAAAAAAAAGGACAAAAAACAGCTCCTGAGACGCCCACCGTGGGAGCTAGACCGTGTAGTAGCTTACAAAAGATTTTGGGGTTGTCAACGTATCAGTTTAGCTGTCATGAGGTTTTCAATTGCTGATATTTTTAGTGTTAAAAATAAAATTTTGCAGATATTCTACTCATCCAACATTTTGCTTTATATTACATTGTTTTTCTGTATGTTTGTCAATTTGATTGCAAATATTACATCGTAAAACCTGAAATTTGATAATAAAATTTGATCACCTCCTCGCTATTGAAAAACATTTAACTAAAGCATTCTTTCCCAAAAATAGAAGCGATACAATTTTATATTAATAAAGTATAAATTTCCCTTTTTTTTCTCTGGAGTCTTTAAGTAAAGACGCATTTTTGCTATATCCACTCCCAAACAGTAATTTTGGGAGTTTGATTGCCGAAAATGTCCTTTTGATGTTGAGGGTGTTTCTGGAATGGACTTGCCTGTTTTGATTTGGGAGAAGGGCAATTTAATCCTCACACACCCCCAAAGTTACTGTTTGGGAGTGTGAATAGTCGGACCCGTAAAGACGTAAGGGCAACGTTTGACTAGTATTTGGTTCCACCTATTTTTTTTGGGAGCAGTGTAATCCTATAACATCAATAAATAAATCTTCTTATAATAAGTATCAAAACAAATAAGTTGGAAAATTAGAATAAGTAACTATTTCAAACTCAAATTTTGTTTAGCGGCAAGTCCACTAATCTCTGCTAACTAACTCAAGCTAGAAGACCATTCCTTTTATCTTTGCATCATATCACAATATTCACCAAAACTAGCTACTCGGAACTAAATTCCAATTTGGTTTTTCAAACAAAACAGTCATAAATTGTACGATCGATCAATTCGAGTAATTCCGGCTGAAAATTTTAATTAATGACTTGGTAGGGGTGCGCCAGGCCCATGCAGCAGTGCAACGCACGGGGGACGCTCGAGGACCCCAGCAGCAAGCTACTGTGAACGGGCCCTCCCCCAACAAAAATTAATTTAATATCATAGTGGGCCGATGGCCCACGTATCAGATATTAAACTGATAAGAACAGATACTACACTTGATCTTAGCCAAAAGGCCGAGAAAGGTATGCTTAAGCACCCCGCCCTGCGACCCCTTTTATCCCAGCTGCTAGCCCTTCGGGTTTGAACGCAACCGATGTGGGACTAAAACTGAAGTCCCAGCTGCACGGATGATTTGAAAAAAAAAAACCAAGAACCGTGTCTTCATCTCATCCTCAACTCTGCTTCGCTCTTCTTCAACCAACCGTTGATCACCCAAGAACACTAGCTTCGCTCACTTGTCCTCTCCCAAATCTCTCCTCCAACCTCGAACAATGTCTATCCTCCACCCGAACCCCATCACTCTACCCCCCTCTCCCCCTCAGACCCACAAACCCAAAACCTCCCCAAAACCCCTCCTCGCCTCCTCGCCCCCTGACAACATCCGCCAGTGGAACGCCCTAATCGCCTCCTACTCTCGAAGCCACCGATTCCTGGAAGCGCCATTCGCGTTCTCCTCGCTGCTATCCTCCACCGATCTCGACCCCGACAACTTCACCCTCCCCTGTGTCCTCAAATCCTGTGCCGGCCTCTCAGCTGCTGGATTGGGAGAATGCGTTCACGGGTTGGGTGTTAAATTGCGACTCGGCGATGACCCTTTCGTGGGCAACTCTTTGATTTCGATGTACGCGAAGTGCGGGCGCGTTGAAGACGCGGGGAAGGTGTTTGAGAAAATGCCGGGGAGAAACCTGGTTTCTTGGAACACGATGATGTCTGGGTATTTTGAATGTGGGTTCGTTGATGAAGGGTTTGGTCTATTGAGGGAGATGATGGGGGTTGATGGGTTGGGATTTGATGATGCGACGGTGGTGACTGTGCTGCCTGTGTGTGCGTCGCGCGGGTGGGTGGAGATGGGGAGATCGGTTCATGGGTTATCGGTGAAATTGGGTTTGGCGGGCGAGTTGAGGGTGAATAACACATTAACTGATATGTACGCAAAATGTGGGTGGTTGGCTGAGGCCCGCAGGGGTTTTGAGACTACGAGTGGAAAAAACGTGGTTTCTTGGAATTCTATGATTGGGGGTTGTGCAAGAAATGGAGATGTTGATGGAACCTTCGATCTATTGAGAGAGATGTCAATGGTAGAAGGATTAAAGGCAAATGAAATCACAATCCTAAATGCACTGCCAGCTTGTTTGGATCCGTCGGAGCTTTATAAAGTGAAAGAAATTCATTGTTATGTGATCAGAAACGGACTTGAATGCAATGAGTTAGTGTTGAATGCTCTCATTGCGGCCTACGCAAAGGTTGGATTACTGGAATTGGCAACAAATGTTTTTGAGGGCATAGAGGTAAAGACAGTGAGCTCATGGAATGCACTAATTGGAGGCTACGCACAGAATGTAGATCCTTTAAAAGCTTTGGATTTGTTCTTGGATATGATATCTTCAGGCTTGAAGCCTGATTGGTTCAGTATTGGAAGCTTGCTTTTGGCTTGTGCCAATCTCAAATTCCTTCAAATTGGCAAGTCAATACATGGCTTTGTCCAGAGGAATGGCTTAGAGATGGATTCATTCATTAGAATTTCACTGATTTCTCTTTATATCCAATGTGGAGAACCCTCAAAAGCTAGAGTATTGTTCGATGAGATGGAGGAAAAAGAAGTGGTATCTTGGAATGCTATGATTGCTGGATATTCCCAAAATGAGCTTCCGAATGAAACCCTCCAACTTTTTCGTGAAATGCAGTTTGATGGACAAAAGCCTACTATGATTGCAACAACAAGTGCCTTCATGGCTTGTGCTCAGTTATCGTCTCTTTGCCTCGGCAAAGAGATGCATGGCTTTGCATTGAAAGCGAACTACACTGAAGATCGACATGTTGCAAGCTCAATCATAGCTATGTATGCAAAATGTGGCTCCATAGATCATTCCTTGTATTTCTTTGAGAAAATGGAGAACAAAGATGTAGTATCTTACAATGTTATGGTCACAGGGTATGCTGTCCATGGAAATGCCTCTAAGGCTATAGAACTGCTTTATAGGATGCAGAAACAAGAGATAAAGCCGGACACCTTCACCTATCTCGGTATTCTAATGGCATGTAGCCATGCTGGATTAGTTGAAGAAGGTCTAAATTACTTTGAGGAGATGAAGAATGAGCAAAAGATTGAGCCAAAGCTAGAGCATTATTCTTCTATTGTCGACATGCTAGGGAGAGCTGGGAAATTAGCAGATGCAATGAGACTTGTCGAAGAGATGCCTGCAGAGCCGGACAGCAAAATATGGAGTACTTTACTCAGTGCGTGTAGAATTCATCGAAATGTAGATCTTGGGGAGAAAATTGCTGAGAAGCTGTTAGAATTAGAACCTGACAAGGTCGAGCATTATGTAATGGCTTCAAATTTGTTCGCAGGATCAGAAAGATGGGATGATGTTAGAAGAGTAAGGAAAATTTTGAAGGAGATTGGTCTTCAGAAGGACCCGGGATGTAGTTGGATAGAATTAAGAGGCAAAGTTTATAACTTTATGGTAGCCGATAATTATCTACCTGAATTAGATGAAATTCACAAAATGTGGTGTATTTTGGAAGAGAAAATTCAGGGAATTGGATATATTCCTGATATGGGGTCAGTGCTTCATGAAGTAGAGGATGAAGAGAAGGTGGAATTACTTAGGTGCCATAGTGAGAAGCAAGCTGTGGCATTTGGATTGATGAAGACGACAGAAGGCACGAAGCTGAGAATATGCAAGAACGTTAGAATATGCAGGGATTGTCACAATGCTATCAAGCTTGTGTCTAAGGTTGTGAAGAGGGAGATTGTGGTGAGAGACAACAAAAGGTTTCACCATTTCAGAGACGGTTCTTGTTCCTGTGGTGATTATTGGTAAATTCTAATCTTATACTCTTGTCTAAGTGATGTTTGGAATTGTTGCAGTATGAAAGAGATTACCATAGACATTTAAACACCTCTCACTACCAGATGTGCAATAACCATCATATAAGTCAAAAAAATATTGATAATTACAGGTAGATGAATAAGGTCATAAAACAAATCCATACATATTTACAGAAAAAGGGGGAAATACTATGTACTAATACCCCAATAAAAAACATACACAAACAACAAACTTCACACATATCCAAAATCTAGAATAACTTCCTCAACTAAATCATCCAATATCAAGCCCTCTAAGTCCATCCCCACTCTCTCAACATCCAAATGTAGTTTCATCCATCCATCATCCTTTGCATAAGCTCGAGCCAAAGCATCCTCTAGTGCGTGATTCAGATCTTGTTGTGAACTGAGGAGCCTGCTAACTTTTGCCCATACCTGCTCAAGTAGATGATCTCCCATATTCACCGGCATAACATGAGAAGAAAACCGTGAGAGCCCTAAGGTATAGGCTATATTGCTCTCGTAAATTTCCAGCAGGGCTTCATTTATTAGATCAAGAAAAAGTTGGCGATCCCATGGTATCTCATAACAGTCAGCTTTCATAGTCTGAAGTTCTTCAACGAACAATAATTGGTCGATTGGCTCATAGGATGAGGACCATGCTTCAAGGAATTCTTCTGCTCCTCCACAAAATCCAGATTTATCTAGGACATCTCTCATGTAATTAAACTCAGCCTCAAGAGGGATGTGGCTAGATTTCAGCTCTGCATCTGCTAAGGATTAAGCGAAATATATCAGAAATGAGAGAAGAATTAAGTGGAAATAGGTCTTCAGAACGTTTGATATGTAATGCAAATACTTTACCTCGTAACTCAGCATACTTTGCTGGACTGATTGCTTCTTCTTCTTCAAAACATGAATCGAGAACAGAAAGTGGGCTTGATTTTGAAGGCTGGTCGACTTCATCCTGTTTGATTTCATCCTCTTGCTCGTTGTATGCAATAGAGCTGTTGTCATCTGCAATTAGATCATGTGAGACGATGGTTGCTTCATTTTGATCACACTCATCCTTTAGTTCTGGCTGTTTGATACTCTCCTTCATATTCACAAGAATATCTACTAATTTTGGATCATTGGGAGTGGAATTGTCTGCTTCCTCATCACTAGCTAAAAGATCCGGATCTACTTTTTTAGATGATAAAGCTAGTGTTTCACCTGAACCGTCATTGGTGAAAGAGAACGACCCAAGGTCTGAAGTAGAAAGAATGCTCCCAGAAACTGTTTGGGACTTAATATCCTGCAAACCATCCTCTTCTTGGATTGACTTCAATCTCTCAGGCTGTCTTTTGGATTCTCTGACTGAAACAGACTCAGGCAATTGAGCGCATCTATCAAAAGATTCAGAAAGCGAGCGTGACCTTTGAACTCTTCTATGTGCAGAATTGCACTCTTGCTCTTTTGTCGAATTCAACCTCTGAAGAAGCTTTTGGGGTTCTCTAGCTGAAAGGGATTCAAGCAAATGGTATCTATCAAAGGATTCAGAAAGAGAGTGTGATCTTAGAACTCTGCCATTTGCAAATTTACTGTCTTGCTCCCTTACTGAATTTGACCTCTGATGAAGTCTCTGGGGTTCTCTAGCCGAATTGAACTCAAGCAAATGAGAGTACCTATCCAAGGACTCAGAAAGAGAACGTGACCGAAGAACTTTTCTATGTGCTAAGCTGTCATCTTGCACACTTGCTGAATTCAATCTCTGAGGAAGCTTTTGAAGTTCTTTAAGTGAGCTGGATTCGAGCAAATGAGAGTATCTGTCTAAGGATTCAGTAAGGGAGCGTGACCGTTGAATGGTTCTATGAGCAAGCTTGCTATTTGTAGATACAAATCCTTCACTACCAAATTTACTTCTTGGGCTATCCCCACCTCGGCTCTCCTCTCTCTGCACATCATCACCTAGCTTGTGGCCTACAGGTACTTTATCCAATACTCCGTCAATGGATATGCGGTGTTCCTCCTTGATTGCATCTCGAATCTTCTTGTTGAGGTCCAACGAGCAATCGAAAACTTCCTTGTCATTGTTCAGAATGGAAGGATACTTGTTCTGGGATTCATATCCTTGTTTGCTTCTTGCAGAAAAATCCATCTCATGAGAATTTACTTCATCTGTCGAAGATTCACTATTCAGAGTAATTTCATCAGGAAGAACATAATCATCGCATTCAAGGTGATGAATGGAGATTGTACGAAGCAAGGGTGTTGCTGAAGAGGAATTCTTCAACTTCTTATTCCTCTTTCCGGTCATCTTCTTGTAAAGCAAAGTAATCAGGTGAGTACTGCCAGAACTTTTCTTTGTCGAGTTCATACTATTTTTATTTTCCACCTGAAATTGTTCATACACAAACCGCGAACAGTTAAACACAGAAAGCAAGAATCACATGACGGGGACAAAAACGTGCTAAAACTAAATTTTAGTTCAATTTACCTGGAAGTTTGCTTCTTTATCCAACAACCGTTCATTGTCACTTTGTTCTGATGTTAAAATTGTAGTTCCTACAGTAAAGAATATGATTATTGGCATAAAAATGTTCAGACAATAGATCATATTAACAAAATGCTCTTGTTCGAAGAAAAAGATCAACAAGGAAGAAATTGAAATGGTAATGAATCTAAAAGAAGTCGAAATTACTAACCTCCTCTATGCTTATCATCGTCGTCGTCGAGATCAAATCTCCTGTAATTGAGCATCTTTCCCCTATGACGACGACGGTCTAAGTCAAGAAAATGAAGCAAACGCCAAAGAAACCCATGATGATGGTCATAATATGCTTGGGAGCTCTGATGCCTCAAAAGCTCAGCTGCCATGTTTTGACCCTGCAAGGTCGAACAGGATAGCAAAAAATCAATTACCAGCTCAAACCCCAATTCTCAAAACTGAAATTTTCTAACAAAACTCTCAGCGATTTCAACTGAAACTGATTTCCACAACACGGGTATTAACAGAAAATCCTCAAAACTTCGGCCTTTTTGAGAAATTGTGTGAAACTCATTTAGGAATCTGTTGAAAATGAGCAATACCCGGATGCTAAAAGTTTAAAATTTGAAGAAAATTAAACAAAAAAAAAATTGTTCTTACCTGAACAATTTGAGGAGAAGAGCTCTGATACTGGGATCGGGTTCGAGAGAGAATAGAAAAGGAACGAATCTAGGGTTTTTAATGGAGGGCGGCGCTGAGAGTCATCAGACGATGACTTTTTAAGAGAGAAAGATGATGAACAATTAAAATACTTGGATCCTCTTAATTGTCGTCTGTTTCTTTTTTTTCTTTTGGGGGGGCGTTTGCTGTGAAATATCTCATCTTTTTTATTACTCCCCTGTTAATCTGGTCTTTGTTAGGCATCTCCCGCCCCCAAAGTTTACCGCCACGAAAAATGAAACTGATAGAACGACCCCAGAGTGATATTTCAGTTTGGTCCACGGAAATTTCACAATTGCGTGATCGCTCGTTGAACCCGTGCGTTACTTTTTTATTTTTAACAATCCTTTATTCCCTTCGGGATGGAGAATTAACCAAGAAAAAAGAAAAAGAGGGGTGGGGGGACTTTTTTTTTATTTGTAAATATTTCTCTTAAATCATTTTTTTCCTTTTTCTTCTTTTGCAATGTAAAATATCTTTATTTGAACAACATACAAATTGTAATTGAAAAGAGAGAGACGTTAAAATGCTTGGATTGTCTAAGTAAGATTTACATTATCACCTGTCGAGTAGAATGGACTATGTTACTACTAGTATGCATTATGTTATTATATATCATGATTAATGTAATTATGCATTATGTTCTTATATATCATGATTACTATTTCTCTTCCTTCTTGCCCATGGGAAATTCGAAGTAACGACTTCCTTATTTGACATAGAGCCATGGAGGTGTTTTGAGCTTAGTTATTTTTGTGTAGCCTTATCAATATCTCGATGAGAGAAAAAGTGTTGAACTGATACTCATGTTCTATTGCTTATCGAGAAAATGATATATGCTCGTATTAAACACGCTGTAATACGGCGGGTATATTCTATTCTATTCTATTGTATATCATTCTGGTGGGTAATACTCAAATTGAGGATTCATCCGGGCCTAGCATGGAAAAATGCTTATATACTACACCCCAACAGAGACCAGTAAGAACATCTCCAACAGTTTCTCCAAAATTTTCTCCAAAATGGGGAAGCAAAAGTCATATTCTCCAACTAATTTTTACACCAACTCCAACAGCTTCCCCATTTTGAAGAATCCATTTTTTCCTCCAAAAATTTGGAGAATGCTGCAGATTTGGGGAAGCTTCCCTATTTTTTCTCCTTCATCCCTATTTTGGGGAATGAGATGGGGAATCTGTTGGGCCAAAAACCTAACTAAATTCTTCAAAAGTGAGAAAAAGGGGTTGTATATATCAGACAGGACTAAGCTCAGTTTAATTTAACTAATTAAATTTCTTGAAACAAACGAAAAAGAGGGTCTAGTCACCGCGTTCCAGTTTTAACTGTCGTGGTCCCTTTCTGCTAGCTGTAAAGGCTCAAGGTCACTAGCATGGGCCCGACTCCTTTTCGAGAAATAGTACGGGTAACTCTTACCTGCGGCGGTGACCAGACCCTCCCTTTTGAATAATACCACGGTTGATTAGTTCTTTTGAAGTTTGCCTATATAGAATGTGTTTAATGTTTGACTTAGCTCGGTCAAAAATTCAAAACGAATTGGCGAGTCGATTAAGGCTGGGATTGCAACCTTTTTCGTTAGAGTTTGTGTGATGGTTAGGGACTTTATAAGATGAGAATCTAGGTTTTCGTCATGTCCCGTAAAAAGAGTGTTCAACCTGTAAGGACATGCATGGTAGAATTATGACTCTCAATCCTCTTCGTGGCTTCGAGGTTTTGGTGAAATGATTAGGGACTTTTAAGATTCTTAATGTGGTTATACGTTTTGACTATATTAATCTTAGTGAAGATCCAAATTCAAGGGTCGACAAGCGAAATCATGTAATATACATGGGTTTCGTTTTTAAAAGATAAAAGGATAAGCTGAGAGATATATCAATCCCATGATGGCCATACATGACACCGAACATGAAGGAGGAGTCGTACGAGCTCATAATAGGTGACGGTCTGGATGCATGGTGTCGGCTAGCAGATTGTGTGGAAGTGTACATTTCAGCTTCGGTGGATTCTGTCACGCACCTAATGTTTTTATGACTTAAGAGGCCCAACATACAGCTCAATATCATGCCCAATGATGCTGCCAGCTCACTAGTGCACAACAAAGGAAGCAATGATTTTATTCTTGAATATTTTTTTATGGCGTATTTGACGTAGACGGGAAGCGAACCCAGTCCACCTACGAAAACAAGCTTCCCCCTCCCAAGACTAATGAAAACAAGCTTCCCCCTCCCAAGACTTTTTCAACGCTCTCAAAACCCCCAAATTCGTAACAAATATGCACTGAGCCCCCAAAACACAAAGACCAAGAGTATTAAAATTTGAAGACCATAATACCCTTTCTCTCTCTTTTTCTTTCTTTATCTGTGATGATTTGAAAGGGTTCCTCCGTCCCTTTCCCCGATGGCGGCCGTCATCATGTCCCTCAGCAGGGTCCCCACCTCCGCGATGAGATTGCCCCCTCTGCCGTCAACCTCGCCGTCACGAGCATCGCCCCGCGCACCGGTATCCTCCCAGGATCCACATCAGCCTCCCCAACCTGGGCCCCACCATAGTAAAGCTGGAGAGAACGAAGCATAGTTAGGGTTTTTGATGAGGAGGTCGAGGGTCATGTTGAGCTCCACGCGGATGGCCGGGAACGTGACACGTGGAGAGACGCCGGTGACGGCGAGGATGAGCAGGAGGAGGTGATGAGCAAGAGGAGGATGACGAAGTTTACGGCGGCGGTCGTGGTGCATGTGCGTCGGATTTTCAAAACCTGGATTTTGTTTTAGGGATACTATTCCTTCATTTCAGCGTAACCTGGATTGGGTGATACTATTCTTTCATTGTGCAAGAAGGAAGTGGGTCATGTTAGTGATTTTAATATTTTTTTTATTTTTTGAAGGGTTAATTGAGGAGGTGGAAGAAGGAAGTGGGTCCTGTTAGTGATTTTAATCTTGTTTTTTTTGTTTTTTGAAGGGTTAATTGTTGGTAATTTTCTTTTTTCTTACTGATTTTTTGTAAGATTCGGAAACATATATAACAATATATTTTTAGAAAATGAATATTTCACTTTTAATTTTTAGGGAAATTATAATAATATTTCACTTTTAATGAGATTTTCAAAAGCCAAGTGATTTACGCGTTGGTTGTGAAGGTTACGCGTCGCTTGTTAAGGTTACGTGTTGCTTGTTAAGGTTACGTGTTGGTTGTTAAGGTTACGGGTTGCTTGTTATGGTTACGGGTTGATTGTTAAGAAATTTTTGCATGGAACTGATGATGGCTACGATATTCTACAAACCTTATTCCGGGTTACGGGTAACCTTATTGCTAAGAGCCTAAGAGCCTTGTTGCCAAGGTTACGTGTTTGTTGTTTAGATTACGGGTTTGTTGTTAATGTTACGGGTTTGGTTGTCAAGGTTACGGGTTGATTGTCAAGGTTAATTTCACAATAAACATGTAACATTAACAACAAACGCGTAACCTTGACAACAAACCCGTAACCTTGACAACAAACGCATAACCTTAACAACCAACCATTATTCTTAACAACGAATATTCTAATTAGTTGTGAAATTAACCTTGACAACAAACCCGTAACATTGACAACAAACGCGTAACCTTAACAACCAACCCTTATCCTTAACAACAAATATTCTAATTAGTTGTGAAATTAACCTTGACAACAAACCCGTAACCTTGACAACAAACGCGTAACCTTAACAACCAACCCTTATCCTTAACAACGAATATTCTAATTAGTTGTGAAATTAACCTTGACAACAAACCCGTAACCTTGACAACAAACGCGTAACCTTAACAACCAACCCTTATCCTTAACAACGAATATTCTAATTAGTTGTGAAATTAACCTTGACAACAAACCCGTAACCTTGACAACAAACGCGTAACCTTAACAACCAACCCTTATCCTTAACAACGAATATTCTAATTAGTTGTGAAATTAACCTTGACAACAAACCCGTAACCTTGACAACAAACGCGTAACCTTAACAACAAAAGTGTAATCTTAACAACCAAAATATATATACATATAAATCCCAACGTGTAACCTTAACAACAAACACGTAACCTTAACAACAAATCCGTAACCTTAACAACCGACCACTAATCTTAACAACCGACGACAAACCTTAACAAAACACAATAGGAGACAAATAATCAAACTTCAGGCTTAACATAGATTCTATTTATGCCATAAAGGAAAACATATCTCAATACTAAAACCTCACACACGCATAAATTAATTCGCATCCATCAAAGAACACCAACAACAAACTACAACCCACAATCAAAGATACTCTTTTTTTATTCCCACATACAATAACACTATTATTTAGTAAAAACAACCTGAAGCAAAGAAACAAGACAAATGCTACCTAAGTGGTGAGGATGGGGGGCATGTAATCAGACTTGGTTCAAATAACACGAGCCTTTGTATCGGGGAAAAACTCCGTCCTTGGGAGCTCTGTAACAACTCCTTCACTGCTTACTCCAATGGGATAGCTAAGTAAATGTCCAGGGAGATCGCGTTCCTGAGAGTAGAGATCCCAGTATTTGTCAGCGATACGCTTCACTTTCTGTACAAACTCGACGCTCTCTAGATGGAGGAAGAAATCAGATCGTCAATGCCGGGGAGACGGACTGCTCGATGATGGCGACGTTGATGTCGGGGTTCTTGGAGAGCTCGTAGGCGCAGGAGAGGCCGACGGATTCGCCGCCACCGCCACCGCCGCCGCCGCCGACGGTGTTAGCGTAGGTGATTATGTCGGACATGTAGCGGCGGGTCATCTCGCGGGAGACGATGGATTCTTTGATGGGGCGGAAGCAGATGGAGGAGAGGTCGTAGGATGTGGAGATTTGGGGGCGGAGGATGACAATGATAGGGAGGAGAAAGATTGGGTTTTGAAGGCGGAGATGAGCTTGAGGCCATGGAAGGAGGAGAAAGAGAGGAGGTTGCGGTGGTTAGGTTTGGAGAGGAAGGAGGATGTGACAATGGAGGGTATTATGGTCTTCACGTATCTTAATTTCTTGGGTTTTGTGTTTTGGGGGCTCAGAGAACACAGAGTTTACTTTTGGGGGTAAAACACACGTTGAAAAAGTCTTGGGAGGGGGAAGCTTGGTTGATTAGTTCTTTTGAAGTTTGCCTATATAGAATGTGTTTAATGTTTGACTTAGCTCGGTCAAAAATTCAAAACGAATTGGCGAGTCGATTAAGGCTGGGATTGCAACCTTTTTCGTTAGAGTTTGTGTGATGGTTAGGGACTTTATAAGATGAGAATCTAGGTTTTCGTCATGTCCCGTAAAAAGAGTGTTCAACCTGTAAGGACATGCATGGTAGAATTATGACTCTCAATCCTCTTCGTGGCTTCGAGGTTTTGGTGAAAT